CAAACCGATTTTGACACATAAAGCGAAATAGTTGGATTAATAATAATAATAAATGCGGTAGATAATAAGAAATCTTTTATTAATTCATGGAGAACTGTCTCAGGTTTCTCAACATTCCAGAACATAGAAAAAAAGAGTTGTTTGTTATTTTTATTAATTACTTATTTCGTTTATATACTGAATTAACCTTTTGTATTCTCCATAAAAATTAATTAATTTTATTTTTATTTATTTTACGTGAATATTAACTTGACACCCACAGTGAAAATATTTTTAGTAGAAATTTAGAAAGCATATTCGAAAACATTACATAACACACGGAAAGTTTGAAAATAAAATTAGGTTATATTTTATAGAATTGAAAAGGGGAAAAATAGCTTGTGGGTCAGGAAATTTTAAAAATGAAATACCAGGAATGTCGAAATTATTTTAATTTTCCTCTAAAATCTAAGAGTACGTGATTAGTCTTAAAAAACATTCACAGAGTTAATTGAAAAATTTTGATTTTTACCAGATTCTCTGCAAAAAGTGTTAAATTTGGCAGTTATATATATTTATTTATTTTTGTAAACTTTACTTTAGTTTCCTTTCAGAAAAATATTTTTTTTATTTATATTGATCTTAATTATATTTAATTATATTTAAGGAGCATCCAAAAATAATACTTGCCATACCCTAGATACGCCACTGAAAGAAAGTTTTCGTATTGTACTTTCGCTGACCTAAAAAAACAATCCAAAAACATGGTCTTATGCTCGTTTATTTGCTTTCCCTTAAATGAGATCCTTTGCAAAATATTTTCTTATTATTTATTAATATTTTCGTTGAAAAAGTTAATATATGCTTTATTTAGTTTCCTTTGAAAAAGGTTTTCGCTTAATATTTCTGCTAACCTAATCATGGCAGCAAACAAAAATGCAAAAAGTAAGGTTTACAATTTGCTTGTGTTTTAACCTAAATAACAATAGTTTTTAAAAAAGATTTAAAAATCATTTACTTTTGTATATTTGTAAATTGCAATATTTTTACGTCATTGAAAAAAGGTTTTTACTGCAAACCTTTTCGTGACAATGAAAATAAAGTTAAAACACAAGATTGTCGTAAGGTTGCATGCTTTCTGGGTGAGGTATTTACGAGGTATAAAATTTTTTACCTTATTTCAACTAAAGAGAGTGAGGTATTTATAGAGATATATGAAGTCATTTTATTTATACCTAAGCTTATTTTGAGCTTGTTTTAAATCCACTTCAAATCAACCAGACTGATAAGGTGATTTTGAAGGTATACGAGGTTGTTTTTCTTACACTTGTAACAAAAGAGGTATCAGTGAGGTATAAAAAAATCAACCTTATTTCAACTAACGAGAGTGAGGTATTTACGAGGTGTAAAAAAATATACCTTATTTCTACTAAAGAGAGTGAGGTATTTATTGAGGTGTATGAAGTCATTTTATTTATACCTAAGCTTGTTTTAAGGTTGTTTAAAGTACTATTCATGTTAACTAGCTCACTTCCCAGAGTTCTGTGCGAGCCGGCAAATGGCGTGTGTGTTGACAATCGAAAGTTAATTCGAAATTCGGTAAGTGTGCTTGACATTTATTAATTTAGTTTTATCACTTTTAATCAAATATGCTTCAATTTTCATACTTAAATTTTATTAATTTTGCTTTAAAGACCCGTCCAGATCTTAAATAATTTAAGTTGGAGGATATTCTTAGAGTCTATTGTTCTAGGCTTAGCAATAAGGGAGAACAATCGAAATATTTGTCGTCGCTGTTTAGGGTTACGTAACTGGTGAATCGTTACAGCAGGTTACGCACAGTATATTTTATTGTTCGAAATTTATTCAAATATAACTATTCTTTTTATTTTGTGTAAATGTATATGTTTTAACGTAGCAGTATGTAAACTGATTAATTGAGTAAAATGTTCATAATTTCTCTTATAAATAAATCATTGAAAATTGAAAGATTTTTAAAATAATAATTTTGCTTTGGATATCTGTTGCAAAGTTTATATTATTGCTTATGAGTTAAAATATGTATAATAATACTGATTGTTTTTAAATCTGATTAACATGCAATTTCTTTTTCTAACATATATGTATATATGGAGAGAGCTTATCCACAGTTCCCTGATATTGCTGAGATCTAGGCCATAAATAGCACATGTGCAGCAGCGAAGAAGTGACTAGCAAGCTACTGCTCAGCCTTCCCCTAGGAAATAGTTCTGAATTAATACCAAAAAGAAAAAGTAATCTCTCCTAATAAACTACAGAATTTATGTTATTGTTGATAACAATAGTTTGCTAGATATTTGATAATTGAAAACTAGTAACTGTACTAGCTCACTTTTTCATGTTTGATCTCGAGACTGCTATTTTCACTGCATGTTATTTCTTCTCAATTTACCCACGTTAATTATTTACTAAGCAGATTGTTATTACTTATTAGAATATTGAGCAGAATTAAATTAAACCCGATATCAAGTTTATATGATAATTTGTTTCAAGGTTATGAGCATTTTTATGCTGCTGTTTACAGTTCACTACTTTAAAAATTAGTGACTTTTGGAGATCTTAAATTTTTTAGAAATAAGTCAGTTTAGTTTCATATGCAATTTTAATGCTGAATTGAATAAAATCAATTCCAAATAAAAGCATTTAGTAAAATGTAAATGTATCAAAACATTTAGTAGTGCTGAAAGTAATATGCATTTTTTAGAATTTCCTCTTATGGGATGTGTTTTTATATTTTTAAATATAAAAACACAATTAAATGTTTGTAACAACTAACTATTTGTTTCATTCTGCACGGTATTATAAGTTATATAGGAGATATTATTTGCAACTTATTTTAAAAGTATTATTTCAAATCATTCTCTGTTAGACATTTTCCTCACATAAAATTACTTACAACTTTAAAATAAATGCTCCTTATCAGCTTGTAATTTGTTCTATTTGATTCAGTGTAAAAAAATGATATAAATCGGTACATAACTTTAAATTTTCAATTTATTAAACGATTGTTTATTCTTGATTACATTGATTGAAAAATATTAAAGTAACTATTTTTTAAGAAACTCTGATGTGATTGACAATAACGGAAGTCCTTTTCAGAATCAGTGTCAAACATTTTTAAAAAACCTATTAGTTTCATGAAATCTGACAAAAAGTTTAAAAATATAGACTAGGTTTATTGAGTTTAAAAATTTGTAAGAAAGAAAGAAAATCTAATTATCAAACTTACAAGTACAATAATGACACCAGATGTATAGAAAAATAAAAAGTGTTAAAATTGCATAATAAGATTGGAATTATATATTTGAATTTCTGTAAATGCTGTTAATGCTGGTACTGTCTTCAGTGCATTTTATTTTGTGCCTGTGGTACCCGTCATGCATTTTAGCTATGGCGATTGAATAGAAATGGCAGAAGAGTAATACTATTTATCTGAAGAGGAGAGTAATTTCATCCAGTTAATTTAAATCATAAAAAAAAAACAATTTCTAATATTTTATTATTTCAAAACCTGCCACAAGTTTCAACATTTAGACGGAAACAGTATTTGAAATGATTTTGTTGGTTTGCAAAAAAATATGAAATTTTAGTTTTAAATAAAAGTAATTTGAATAGCAGCTGGCTAATTATTTAAATTTGTAGTTATATATCTTTAGAAATTCAAGCACCTTAGACAATTATCTTCTAAAAATATGAGTTCCCATAAATAAATTTTACTATTTGTAGAATTTGGATAAGTGTTATTTTAAGATGATTTAATTCAATCTATTAAAATTACAGAAGAATTATGCATTTGAAACTTTCTTTTATAGCTTAAAAAAGAATGTAATGATATTCGTTATTCTTCATATAATATATATAATATCTTTATATATATTGTATTTCTTATATAGTGAGGTTAAGAATTTATAAACCAGGTGGTCCGTATAACACCTCAACTTCGTAAGTGTAATAAAAAAAGCAACTTTAGGTTGAGGTACATAAACCTGAAGTGTAAAATGTTGCATCTTTGGTTGATAAATTATCTAAAAATACACTCGAGGTTACGAAATAATAACTTAGGGTAGAACATGGAACACATGACGTTAATAAAAAATAACATTTTGAAAATACACTTCAGGTTGATTTATAACAACCAGAAGTGTAAAATAGCACACCTTAGTTTGAGAAATATATACCTCTACAAGCATAAAATTAGATACCTGACGTTGAAAAATGATTACCTGAGGTAGAACAAAATACACCTGAGGTTGATTTATAACAACCAGAAGTGTAAAACGACACGCCACAGGTTGATAAATATATACCTCTACAAACATAAAATTAGATATCTGAGGTTGAAAAATAATCACCTGAGGTTGATTATGGTTGAGGCCAGCAGTGCCAAACGACACACCACAGGTTGATAAATATATACTTCGACAAGCATAAAATTAGATACATGAGGTTGAAAAATAATTACCTGAAGTCGAACAAAATACACCTGAGGTTGATTTATAATAACCTGAAGTGTAAAATGACACACCTTAGGTTGTTGAATAAATACTTCCACAAGTGTAAAAAAATATACTTTAGGCTGATAAGTAATAACCTAAGGTTGAAAATGAAACACTTTAAAGTAGTAAATATCAACCTCTCCACAGATGTAAAATTAAACACCTCAGGTTGAAACATATATACCTCTGGAGGTATATTTAAGGAATATTTGAGATTGATTTTGAGGTATTCATTTGCACCCTTCTCAACCTCTACGACGTATTTAAATAACAACCTCCTTTATACCTTTAAAATATACCTCGTTTATGCCTCAAATATACCTCGATTTTTTCATGAGGGTGACCTCGCATGCAGGTCGTCGGGCTACCGAAACGGGGGTGCCATTCCCAGCAGAGGGTCAAAATTGTGATGGCATGTCTTCGGATCATCCTCAGGGATGATTCCCAGACCGTCGCCAATAGTCTGTGGTGATTAGATTAAATAATATTAAATAAATTGATTCAATAAAATTAATAATCACAACAGTTTAATAATAATTAAAAAAAGAAGAAATCATATTAAGTTACAATGTAAAAGACAGACATGATTAACGACAGCAGCATTTTTAAAAGAGGTGAATGTTCACCGGTCAGCAAGCCCGAATGAATGTTTTTTTGAGCTGCTGCCAGATTCTGGAAACTAAAGTTTGAACACAAGAGATGTTGCCATCTTATAAAAAGGTTGAGAGAAATGTTTTGCACTGCCACCTGGCAAGTAGAGTTCACTGCCATCTGGTGAGAAGGTGGTTCACCACAGTACTCCCCCCCAAGTGCCTTGGCACTAAGGTCACAGATATTTGGAGTTGAAACGGACCCTCCTCCCAGATCGAGTCACGTTTGTCTTTGGCAAAACAGTGTTCGTCTCAGCATTTACCATGCTGGAAGTTGGCTTTGGGGAAGGAGGTCTGGAGATAGGAACGGATGCTTTGGAAACACTTTCTGTTGAGCTGGTTTTGTCGAAGTTCACAGAAAAACTGGGTTTTAAACGGTCAATACTAATAGTTGTCGGTTTGTTGTTGATGGAGATGGTTAAGAATTTTTCAGCTCTGTCTATGACTTGAAAAAGCCCGTCATAGGGGGTTTGGAGTGGTTTCTTAACAACACCATGACGGACAAAAACATGGGTGTAGCTCGCAAGGGAAGGGTGGACAAACGAGCCTGGCTCGCTGTGTGATGATGCTGGGGTTGGAGCTATGGACGGCATCATGTTCTTCAGTTGATTAACAAACACGGACGGGTGAGATTCGTCACTATTTGATGTAGGAGCTAGGAATTCACCTGGGAGACGAAGTGTCATACCGTAGACAAGTTCGGCAGAGGTGCACTTTAAGTCCTCTTTGAATGCAGAGCGTAATCCCAGGAGAGCTATAGGTAGGGATTCAGTCCATTTAAGTTTGTTGTGGCACTTGAGAGATTGCTTGAGCGAGCGATGAAAACGCTCTACCATGCCATTGCTGACAGGGTGGTAGGGGGTAGTTCTAATATGTTTAACCCCAAGCAATCTTGTTAAAGATGTAAAAAGGGAAGACTGGAATTGTCTCCCTTGGTCCGTTGTGATGATAGATGGAACACCGAATCTGGACACCCACTGTGACACAAATGCGCGTGCCACAGTCTCAGCTGTTATGTCACCCACAGGAATGGCTTCTGCCCACCTTGAAAAACGGTCGATGCAGGTAAGGAGATATGAGAAGCCTTCAGAAGGTGGCAGGGGTCCAACGAGGTCTACGTGGACGTGGTCGAATCGACGAGATGGCTAAACAAAAGGTTGTATCGGACTACGGGTGTGTTTACGGATTTTAGATTTCTGGCAGTCCACACAAGCCCAAGTCCAAGTGACAACATCTTTTGCAATTGATGGCCACACGTAGCGATCTAGAATCAGCTTCTTGGTAGCTCGGATGCCAGGGTTAGACAGGTTATGCAGCTGGTAGAAGACTAATTTTCTGAAGGTAACAGAAACGAAGGGACGCAGCTTGTCTTTTTCAATGTTGCACCAAAGTTTCAATTGGCTTGTTTTGGTGACGACTTTCAGCTGAAGCGAGTTTTCCTTGTTTTTCAACAAGTTTTGCAGCTCGGTGTCAGTTTCCTGCGCTATGGCTAGATCCTCAAATGTCAGGACTTTTAACTCAGAGATTCGAGATAAAGCAACAGCAACGACATTTTCAGAACCGGATATATGCCGAATGTCTGTACAGAATTGAGAAATGAAATCGAGGTGTCTGAGCTGTCGTGGGGAGCAAGAGTCAGAGTTTTTTGTAAATGCAAAAGTTAAGGGACTATGATCGGTAAATATAATAAATTTTTGTCCTTCTAGCTGGTGCCGAAAATGTTTAATTGAAGTGTAGATAGCTAGAAGTTCCCTGTCGTAAGTACTATATTTGGTTTCTGTTGCACTCAGTTTACGGGAGAAAAATGCTAACGGTTTGAACCCGTCGGGGGTTGTACAATTTAAAACTGCTCCAACCGCAGCGGAAGAAGCATCAACCATGAGACTAATTTGTTGGTCAGGAACGGGATACGCAAGAGTTGTAGCGTCAGCTAACGCGGATTTACATTTCGAAAATGCGAGTTCAGCTTCCTGATTCCAAGGTACGGGACGTTTATCGTTTTTCTTACAGTTTGAAAGCATTTTATTAAGAGGATCTTGAAGTTCAGCTACATTCGCTAAAAAACGCCTATAAAAGTTGAGCATTGCCAAGAAACGCCGAAGTTCCATAATGGTATCAGGTTTCGGAAAATTACATATTGATGCAACTTTATCGGGAAGTGGTTTAATGCCTTCAGCAGTAATAAGACAACCCAAAAATTTAACTGACGTTTTCCCTAACACGCATTTATCGGGATTGAGTTTAAGGCCGTACTCTCTTAAACGGGAGAAAACTTGATGCAAATGTTCAATGTGTTCAGTTTCGGAAGATGAAGCAATGAGTATATCGTCAAAATATGGAAAACAAAAAGGGAGATTTGATAACACTTGATGAATGTGTCTCTGAAATGTTTGTCCGGCATTACGGAGACCGAACGGCATAGCAGTGTATTCGAAAAGACCGAACGGTGTAGTTATCGCGGTTTTAGGGATGTCTGCTGGGTTGATTTTTATTTGATGGTAAGCCCTAGCGAGATCAACAGTCGAAAATATTGTTTTACCGTGAAGATTTTGCGTACAGTCTTGAATGTGAGGGACCGGATAGCGATCAGGGACGGTTACAGAATTAAGCTTCCGATAATCACCGCAAGGTCGGAAATCTCCGTTTGATTTTTTTACTACATGGAGGGGACTAGCCCAGGGGCTTTTTGACGGGCGAAGAACGCCAAGTGACATAAGATATTCGAATTCTTTACGAACTGCTTCTAAAATTTTCGGCGCGAGACGGCTGGGTTTTGAAAATACAGGGGGCCCTTTGGTTTCAATATGATGCAAAATTTGGTTTGAGAGATTAGTCTGGATTGGTTGTGAAGGATTAAGTAATTCGGGATATTGTTTTAAAATATTATGATACTGAGTTCTACCAATCAAAATGGATATATTGGATTCTAAGAAATTGATTTTGGGGGGTTGGCCGTTAGAACCTATCATAGTTTTCGCATCGATAATTCGGTGATTTTTACAGTCGACATATAAATCAAAATGCTCTAAAAAATCTTTGCCGATAATTGGTTGGCGTACGTCAGCAATTACAAAGGACCAAATGAATTGCCGTCGCAGATTAAAATCTAATGCTATCCGTTTCGTGCCGTAAGTTGGAATAATAGTGCCATTAGCGGCAAATAAAGTGATATCATTTTGTAATTTCGCGTTAGGAGCATAAGTTTTTGGCAAAACGGAAATATCTGCACCTGTGTCGATTAAGAAAGTCATATTTGAAGAAGAATCGGCCAACATAACGCGTTGCAAAAGGCGGTCGCCGTTTTGGNTTTTATTAAGAGGATCTTGAAGTTCAGCTACATTCGCTAAAAAACGCCTATAAAAGTTGAGCATTGCCAAGAAACGCCGAAGTTCCATAATGGTATCAGGTTTCGGAAAATTACATATTGATTCAACTTTATCGGGAAGTGGTTTAATGCCTTCAGCAGTAATAAGACAACCCAAAAACTTAACTGATGTTTTTCCTAACACGCATTTATCGGGATTTAGTTTAAGGCCGTATTCTCTTAAACGGGAGAAAACTTGATGTAAATGTTCAATGTGTTCAGTTTCGGAAGATGAAGCTATAAGAATATCGTCAAAATATGGGAAACAAAAAGGGAGATTTGATAACACTTGATGAATGTGTCTCTGAAATGTTTGTCCGTTATTACGGAGTCCGAACGGCATAGCAGTGTATTCGAAAATACCGAACGGTGTAGTTATCGCGGTTTTAGGGATGTCTGCTGGGTTGATTTTTATTTGATGGTAAGCCCTAGCGAGATCAACAGTGGAAAATATTGTTTTACCGTGAAGATTTTGCGTACAGTCTTGAATGTGAGGGACCGGATAGCGATCAGGGACGGTTACAGAATTAAGTTTCCGATAATCGCCGCAAGGTCGGAAATCTCCGATTGACTTTTTAACTACTTGGAGGGGACTAGCCCAGGGGCTTTTTGATGGGCGAAGAACGCCAAGTGACATAAGATATTCGAATTCTTTACGAACTGCTTCTAAAATTTTTGGCGCGAGACCGCGGGGTTTTGAAAATACAGGGGGCCCTTCAGTTTCAATATGATGCAAAACTTGGTTTGAGAGATTAGTCGGGATTGGTTGTGAAGGATTAAGTAATTCGGGATATTGTTTAAAAATATTATGATACTGAGTTTTACCAATCAAAATGGATATATTGGATTCTAAGAAATTGATTTTAGGGGGTTGGCCGTTAGAACCTATCATAGTTTTCGCATCGATAATTCTGTGATTTTTACAGTCGACATACAAATCAAAATGCTCTAAAAAATCTTTGCCGATAATTGGTTGGCGTACGTCAGCAATTACAAAGGACCAAATGAATTGCCGTCGCAGATTAAAATCTAATGCTATCCGTTTCGTGCCGTAAGTTGGAATAATAGTGCCATTAGCGGCAAATAAAGTGATATCATTTTGTAATTTCGCGTTAGGAGCATAAGTTTTTGGCAAAACGGAAATATCTGCACCTGTGTTGATTCAGAAAGTCATATTTGAAGAAGAATCGGCCAACATAACGCGTTGCAAAAGGCGGTCGCCGTTTTGGCCGGTGGACGATCGCCGACCTAGTTTTCCGATGTGTGGGGAAAAGAACAAGGTGGGGTGCATTTTTTTTGCTTTAATACCGAAATTGGTGAGATAAAAACACTGTCCATTTATTGGTTCTTTAAATTGTTTGAATCTTTGGGAATTGCTCCGCCTTCTAACATGTTTGTTGCGCTGGTTTTGTGGATCATTCTGCCGATGAACCAACGCTGTTAATTCACTAAGCTGCCTAGATAGCTGTGCTATTTGTGCCTCCATATCGCATGTAGTTTGGGGCTTAACGACGCTTGCTGCGTAAACGGAATGTGGGTTGCACGTTTCGTGAATCTTGTCGGCAACAACAGCCAACTGGCTAAGTTCTTGGTTCAAAGCCGCGAGAATTGATTGAGTGTTGTGGGGCAGTCTGCCCAACCAGAGCGATTTAAGTAATGGCTCACCAACAGATGATCCAGCTAATGAGCGCATGCGTGCGAGTAACTGCGAAGGACGTTGGTCCCTGAGTTCAAGCCCTTGCAATAGTGTGCGGATGCGAGATGATTCACTTTCAGAGTGAGAATCAATTAAGCGTTTTTTTAAAGCCGCGTAAGGATGATCCTGGGGTGGACTAAGTAGAATATCGCTAACGGAAGTTAACACATCGGCGTCTAGTGCCGCTACCACGTGATTAAATTTAGTTTCTTCAACAGTTATTTTTGCAAGATTAAACTGCGCTTCTAATCTGATAAACCAAAGCGTAGGATTGGGTTTCCAAAATGGAGGTGGTTTAACACTAACATGCGAAATTTGCGCTTCGGCGGTGGTTGTAGGAGGAGTCGTAGCCATAATGAGACAAATATAATATAATCAAGAATAAAACACTAAAGAAAGAAAAATTATTTTCGAAGATTTGTTTATGCACACGTGCTTACGGTAAACCGTAGACAAGTTCGGAAGAAGTGCACTTTAAGTCCTCTTTGAATGCAGAGCGTAGTCCCAGGAGAACTATAGGTAGGGATTCAGTCCATTTAAGTTTGTTGTGGCACTTGAGAGATTGCTTGAGCGAGCGATGAAAACGCTCTACCATGCCATTGCTGACAGGGTGGTAGGGGGTAGTTCTAATATGTTTAACCCCAAGCAATCTTGTCAAAGATGTAAAAAGGGAAGACTGGAATTGTCTCCCTTGGTCCGTCGTGATGATGGAGGGAACACCAAATCTGGACACCCACTGTGACACAAATGCGCGTGCCACAGTCTCAGCTGTTATGTCACCCACAGGAATGGCTTCTGCCCACCTTGAAAAACGGTCGATGCAGGTAAGAAGATATGCGAATCCTTCAGAAGGTGGCAGGGGTCCAACGAGGTCTACGTGGACGTGGTCGAATCGACGAGATGGCTGAACAAAAGGTTGTATCGGACTACGGGTGTGTTTGCAGACTTTAGATTTCTGGCAGTCCACACAAGCCCGAGTCCAAGTGACAACATCTTTTGCAATTGATGGCCAC